GTTCCTATGTGGGTTTGGAGGGTGTCCTGGAAGTAGCTCTTGTAGACCAGAGGGATAAGTTTTCAACTGCCCATTGACCAGCAGCCTCTCCAGTATCCTGCTGCTGTGGAAACTGATTCTAGACTTGGGCTCTGCCTTCTCTGAATGGCTTGGGCTCATTTTAACTCTTTGCAGTCCTTTGGTGCAAGTTCGGCTTATCTTTGTGGTCAGATGGTACTACGGGTTTTGTTTTCCTTCAGTGGTGTGCATACATTAGATAGTCTGTTGCCACGTAAGATTAATAATTTGCAATTTAGGCTACTATTTCATTTTCTGATTTCATTGTCTAACTTTTGAGTTGTTTACCCAAGAAGATAAACAAGAGTCAAATAACCCACTGACTTGCGTTTTGCTTTTTATTGTTTTTGACACTGTTTGATTGTGAAGGTCAATGAAAGATCTAGAAGTGCAATTTTCGTATTATCTATTACCAGCGAAGTTGTTTCCCATACCACTACTTTGTACTAATTATCTGGATCCATACATTAAAGAAACTAGAAGTCTTCGCATTGCTGAACTGACAGCTATGGATGGGATTGCCATTCACAATGAACACTGGCTGTGTAAGCTTGCCAGGCTTTGGAATAATCTGATAGGTTTATTTGTTTTTCATATGTGATATTTAAAGGCCTTTGCAAATGAATTCTGCATCCACTCATTTAAAAATTTCTACTCTGAAAGAAAATCTTGTGCTTATCTGCGTCATTTGTACCTTTTCCTCTCAAACATTGAGGGGTGTTTCTTTATCAGCCGAGTATGGACACAGTCTGAGGTTGTTTACTCAGAAGATGATCTGATCTGAGAACAAAGCTTCTTGGATAACTGTCTCATGCAACTCTAGGGAGCATTGCATAATCCAAGCAATGTAAATGTATGCAAAATGCTTCAGGTTTGATTCTGAGACGATAAACCGAATGCAGGTGTTCATTGTTTACCTAATTGTAAACTAGTCTATTCTGTTAATACTTGAATATTGTGAGCACGCTCCTCCAACGACCGAGTGAGAAACCTGTGCTCGCATGCCTTTGACTTAGCTTTACTCTTATGTATAGATTGTTCCCTGCTGGGCAAATTTCCCGGGCTGCCCTACTGCAAGAGTAATTTGAATGTTGTCATGGATGGAAGGATGTATAATCAGATTATTTGTAGCCATGGACCATTACACGATTACCATAAAACAATAGTTCCTATCCTTTGTGTGTGTGTGTGTGTGTGTGTGTGTGTTGTAAAACTTCTGAAAATTAAGGAATCCTTCCTTTCCCAGAAATATAACATTATGCACAATATATTTTTTTCAGAGACTTTGAATCCCAATGAGTCGTATTCATTTGCTTTATGTTTAAAAACCTGCTACAACTGCATACCATTTGTAGGTATGAGTCGAAACCATCTTTGTAGAAGACAGTTTGGAATATGTATGTAATAAGTATGCACACACTTCCTGTTCTAGGTACTGATAGTGGACTGGACATTTATATCATTTTACTTACTATTTAAACATCATTTAGGGGAATAGAAAGGAATAAAAACTGCCATAAATCCTTAAGATCAAGACTAGGAAGAGTGCCAATAACAAAAAAAATTAGCTGGGAAGGTGAATTAATAGCATAGATTCAGTAGAAATGAGGGCAAGTTTCCAAGCAACCGGAGGCGAGCAAAAACTTCTCCAAGTTTAGGAGTTAAAGAAACAGAAAACAGTCCACATTTATTAAAAGAAGTTTACAAAGATGTCACCCTGGGAGGGGTGTGGAGAGGAGAACCCAGACTGCAGTGCAGGGCTGAGGTGCTTTCCAAACAGTGACTGCAGAGCCTGCCATGCTGACTGTTGACTGAGAAGCTCCCGGTCCCTGTCTCAGCAGCTAGACAGGATTTTTCTTTTTTGGCTTTTCCTTCAGTCTTTGAAGTGATTTTGTTTGTGCAGTCTGTCCAATCTAAGAGGAAAGTCCTGAACATACCCATCTCATTTCATAAGCGTCTCTCTACAATCTTTGCATAGAAGATTCTTGGAAGATTGGTTTTGGGAAAATGGGTCACTTAAGAAAGAAGACTGCACAGCATACATAGGGCGGGGTGAATGATGGAGCGATTATGAACGCCCCTGAGATGGCATGTGGCACTCTGAGAACAATACCTATGGAACTGACAGAGAACACCGTGGTCCCTGGAAGACTCCAAGGGTGACTTTTTCATGAGTCTTAGCATACCTTGAGCATAAATGGCGGAGCGAGTACCCAAACATGCAGTACTGAATGAGTTAGAGCATATAGAAAGCTACCCTCATAAGACAAAGACAAACTTGAATTCCAGGGAAAGCAAACTTATTCAGGAAAGTCACTTTTAGCATTATGTGTTCCAGCTATGAGAAGAGTTAGCATAATCTTTGTTGTTAAAGCTCGGTATTGGTAGGATCAAAACTGTACTAACGGCATGATTAGGAGTGGAAAGTGTGGCTATTTCTTGTGGTGAGGAAGAGAAATACGGTTTTTTCCTTGTTGTTCAAAAGAGAAGAAGTAAGACAGAGAACCAAAAGGTCACATCACAGGTACATTAGTTAGAAACACTGTGTGGTAGGTGGATCATGCAGCCAGAGTAGAATCATCGTCTTATGGAAACAGTGCCTTGCTTTTGTACCATACCATGAATGAACCCTTCTGCGCAAAGTGTCTCGTTCTCAGTTTTGTATTTGTCTGCCTGATTTGCACTGGGCAAAGGGATTTTGCTAGTTGTGACAGGTGGAGGCTGACAATGTGCCAGCAGTCCTGGGTTTGTTCTCTTGTGCTGCTCTTACAGCCATAGGAAGGGTGACATCTCTGCCACCCTACCTGTTCATCTGTGCGATGAACAGTGTGTTGTGACTGACCACAGATTGTTTTCTTTTGTTACTGGGCAAATGTTGACTGTTACACAGACAAATAAATACTAGAGCAGTGTTTATAGCCCGTGACAATTGCCTGTATGAGACAGAGTAAGTTATAGGGGTATGAGTGGGCTGCTTTCACATCCAGCCTTGCAGCATAGATTGTTTTTTTGAACAGGTCTCTCTCTCTCCCCTTTTTTTTAACTTCATTTTTTAAATTTAAATTAGAAACAAGCTTGTTTTACATTGTCAATCCCAGCTCCCTCTCCCTCCCCTTCTCCCCTGCCCCCAACTAACCCCCATCCCACCCTCTTTTTTGCTCCCCAGGGAGGGTGATGCCTTCCATGGGGGATCATCAAAGTCTGTCATACCATTTGGATCAGGACCCAGGTACTCCCCACTGTGTCTAGACTGAGAGAGTGTCCCTCTGTGTGGAATGGGTTCCCAAAGTCCATTTGTATACTAGGGATAAATACTGATCCACTACCAGAGGCCCCATAGATTGCTGAGGCCTCCTCACTGATGCCCACATTCAGGGTTTCCCAGCTATCAGTCTGGGGTCCATGAGCTCCCCTTTGTTCAGGTCACCTGTTTCTATGGTTGAACAGCTCTCTTAATGTAGCCTTGGATGGCCAATGTTCCCTATGTAGATTCGGTTGGCCCCAAACTCACAGAGATCTGCTTGCCTCTGCCTCCTAAATTCTAAGATTAAAAGTATATACCATTATACCTTGAAGACTTTTGGTTTTTAATAGGATATGCACATACACCAACTAAGGAAGCTAATTATAACATGGTTAATTTGTGGGCTGAGCTCATAGAGACCAAACTACGATTAAGATAGCAGAACAAGGAAGCTGAGATCCTAGTAACAAATCTCTTCATCCATTTAACCATGGTCTACTGGTTGATGAGGACAACCTAAGAAAATGGTGATGTTTCTAATAAAGAGCAAATACAGGTTTCATGGACTTGAAGCAGCCTCAGTGAGGAAAACAGGAAGGTTCCGTGTATGGGGTAGTAAAAGGGATAATGAATTAGATGTTCACATTTGAAATTGCTATTAGAAGTGAACATAGATAAAAGTGAAGTTTGCAGGTTTATAACAGAAATCAATTGTTCATATGAAGACAAATCAGTTCACATGTGCTAGGATAGCCATTGTCAAAAAGGCAAGAAGTGTCATGGGGTGGGGAAAGGGGAATTCTTGGACTTTATTGGTGAGAATGGGACCCTAAGGAACAATTACTGAAAATAATATGGTTTCCTCAAAATCTTAAAGGTTAAAAATAGAACCTCTGCTTCATGTCTAAGATCCATATATGAGTGAGTACAAACTATGTTTGTCTTTTTGTGACTGGGTTACCTCACTCAAGATGGTTTCTAGAACATTCATCCAGTGGCTGATGGAAGCAGAGGCAGACACACACAGCTAAACACTTAGCTGAACTCTTGGAATCCAGTTGCAGAGAGGGAATAGTGATGAGCAAAGGTGTCAAGACTGGCCTGGTGAAATCCACAGAAACAGCTGACCTGAATGAGGGGGAGCTCATGGACCCCAGACTGATGGTTGGGAAACCAGCATAGGACTGATCCAGACCCCCTGAATGGGGTGTCAGTGAGGAGGCCTCGGCAATCTATGGGGCCTCTGAGCCTTCACTCAGTAGCTGATTGAAGCAGAAGAAGGCACCCACAGCTAAACACTGAGCCATACTCCTGGAATCCAGTTGCAGAGAGGGAGCAGGGATGAGCAAAGGAGCCAGAACTGTGCTGGAGAAATCCGCAGGAACAGTTGACCTGAGCTAGTGAGAGCATGGAGACCCTAGCCGCAAAGCTGGGGAACCAGCATTGGACTGAACCAAGCCCTCTGAATGTGGGTGCCAGCTAGGAGGCCAGGGCAGTCTATGGGATCTCTAACAGTGGAGCCAGTGTTTATCCCTAGAGCACAAATGGACTTTGGGTTCCCATTCCCTGTTGAGGGATACTATTGCAGCCCAGATATAGGAAGGAGGGCTGGGCCCTCCCCGAAGTGATGTGAATGAGGGACTTTGATGATCCCTCGTGGAGTACCTCACTATCCCTGGGGAGTGGGTGGGGGGTAGGTTGGGGGTTTGGTGGGGAGTTTTGGAGAATGGGAAGGTGAGGAAATGGGGGGATTGATACATTATTAAGAGTGCTTCTAAGATAAAATAAAAATATTAGAAAAAATAGGACCTCTGGCTAGGCAGTCCTGCTCCGATTGCACGGCCAAGGAGAGTGTATGAGTCATATGATGGAAGTATCTGCACTGATTTCCTTTGAAGTCATATTCATGGCAGCTGAGATGGGAAATACTGAAATATGTATCGGTGGGTGAAAACATGATGGCATTCATTCACCAGCACTGGGATGTTTTCAGACATAAAAGAAGGAAATCTTGCTGTTTGTGATGAAGTGGACAAATCCCCTCTCTCTGAGCAGACACTGAGCATGAAGGAAAGGGTGAGGATGGCCTTGCTCCCTCCAGCCCTTGTCAGCCTCACCTCCAGACTCCCTGCAGAGCCAAGAAAGTCTGCACAGCCTCGGATGGGGACTGAGCAGGCCCAGGCAGCTTTTCACACTCCAGATTATGGGCTTGAATTTAACCTAGATAATTCGTTAGACCACATAAAGAACTTGTTACCAGTAATCTCTCTACAGATGTCTCACAGTTACTGTAATGGTTTTTCCGTATTGACTCTTGGTCACTGTTCATCAAACTGAAGGCACTAAGGGACAGATTAAGTAGTTTTGTCCCCAGGGTGAAGACTTTCTCAGGCGGAAGTCTGCGTGTTTCCAGTGTCTCTGCTCTTCATTGGCTACAGTGGCTTGCGTCCACTACAGCATCTTTGTACTTCTGTTAATTAGATAAAACATATTAAGGGTTGCTATCAGTTTTGGTGTGCACAGTTTGTACATCACTTTAGAAAAAGTAATTATAAGAACAAGCTGATTGATATATGTGAAAATTAATATCCTCTGTTCTAATGCTAGCCAGATTAAAAATTTTTATGATAGAGTAACAATACATAGATATGATTTTAGATTTAGAGGTTTAGATTTTATATTCTCTGCAGGTTGTAACTGGAGCATCAGGTTGGTCTGAAAGTATTAAATATCTATATTTGAAATAAAACTGTATTTCTTACTGGTAAGCACTTTGTTTTTAGGAAATATAGACCTTTTTCCCTTCATAGTATAGTATGCTATATAAACGTTACATTCTTTGAGGGAAGAAGTAGTCACAGGAAGGTTCATACGTGGGGAATACCATAGAAATAATCACCTTCATGCCTATCCTGAACTGCCTATCTGGTTATTTTGAGACTTCCCACAGGTCCTCTTTATGCTGAACCTCCTGTCTGGTATCTCACTCTGCTCTGCAGAATAATCACTGGGACTCCTTTTGACACCTGCCCTGGAGTCCCTTTTCTTACTCCTTGTGTATATATGCTTTTCATATCTTGTGTCTTTTCTTGTCTCATTTTTCTCTTCCAGTTTTGTAGACTCTTATCTCTTGTGGCCTCCTGAAAAGTATGTGTGGTCCTCTTTTGGGAGCCTCGGAGCTATTGCTCCATCTCAGCATGTATAAAAGCTGAATGTCACTTCTATCATTGAGAAATATGAGGTCATAGTGTCCTCATTTGGAGAACAAAATAGTACAGACCAAAACTTACCAGGGAGAAATTTTGCTGAGATGTGATGTCAGGCGAGCCTGAGTCTGAGCAGCATGACTCTGATGGTTTATCTTGACTCTCAACTTGACCCAACTGGACAGCACAGAGTATCCGGAAGTGGCGGAACTGTGGACTGTGGACCTTGTTGGAGGAAGTAGTATATACTGTGATGTGGCTTCATGCTCTGGCTCCTTCCTGCTAATTCTCTCCTTCCTGTCGGTCATAATGTAAGATGCTCCGCCACTTCCTTCCCACCTGATCTGGAGCAAAGTAGCTACTCCCTTTAAGTTGTTCTTCCAGAAATTTACTTGGTGACATCAATAAGAAAGTCCAACTAACACATTGGAGAGTGAAATAACCAACTCTGGCCCAACTCCTGTAGCTCTGAGGACTCCGCTGATGAGTGCACAGTCCAGAGGCTCAGTCTTGTGAAGGGACGGGGGCCTCGTCATACAACCACAGATATGCTTGCCCCTCCCCCATAACTACAACATATCCAAAGTCCTGTTTATTTTTTACCCAGTAGCTATTGATGTCACGGAAGCATGAGCAAGCTCTGGAAGGTAGGAGATAGCAAAGACAGAGAGCAAGTGTAACCAAGTGGGACATGGCAAGGGTGCTGGAATTCCTCTACTGGGAACCAGAAATGTCTATGATTCTGCTGGCCAAAGTGGACAGCAAAGAGGAACAAATAGGGAGAAATCTCGATGTGTTTGTGAAGGCTTCTTCCTGGGGAATGGATTAATGAGGAGGGCCTCATGAACCAGCCTCTCTCCATGTTAACTTAAACGCTATCCTCTGGTAAAGAAAGACAAACTAGGTTTGCTCTTGTTGATAAATAAATCTCTGTAGCCCTACCTGTAACCATAGCTACAAATGACTTCCTATTGCCTGCTCCAAGAAATGGCAACCATACGTTTGTTTCAAGAGGTTGTTACAATTGCCTGGCCACCTTTATTTCAGAAGGTTACTATGGCCAGCTTGTTATGCTTATGTTCTGTCTCTGTGACCCCACTTATTTGCCAGGCAATCCCCCACTTGTTTGCCAGGCAATCCCCCACTTGGAGACCCCTCACTCCTAAGCTATGAAAACTTTCTCTTTCCCACATGCAATGTTCATCTCTTGAACTCTACCTCAGGGGGAGACAGCCCAAGTACACTAACAAACATTCCTTTAATTAATTTGGCCATGATTTAGGTTAGTGGTCCTTGTCCTCACATTTGTGGGATTAACAGGCTAAGTATGGGGCATGCTGGTCCACTTTCTGATGTGACAAAATGCATGACATGAATGACTTACCTCTAGCAAATATTTATCTCATGGTTTCCAGTCTGTGACTTCTTGCCCCTTTTGCTCTGGAGCTGCTCACCTCATGGTATCTGGAAATGAAGACAGAGAAGAAGCTAGAGTTCCTTATCTCCTTCAGGGACACATGCCTGCCATTAGCCATGCAACCTAAAAGTTCCACCAATGTCACCACTCGGCCGGGATCGAGCTTTACACCCAGGACTTACTTGTTTCCTCATTGTCTCTTCCTTTTGCGTATGGATATGAGTGAGTCAGGACATCTGGCCTTGTTCTCATAGGAGAGTATCACTTTTCTGAGGTCAGAATCTCCTTCCCCAGCCTGTGACCACAGCTCTGGCAGACTGAAGAACAGGCTTCCATTTGGGGCTTCATTTGTCTTTCCTTTGCTTGAATATGTGTATCATAGGTATAATTTTCCACGTCTTAGTAAAAGGAATCTATTCATTAGTAATCTGAACAGCAGACATTCAGACTTTTTCACTGATTGCAGACTTCTGAACTCACTTTTAAAAAGTTTTATTATTAAATGTCTTCGAGCACATTACTGATATGATATTAATCTGTATAGTGATAAGTCCAGGCTTGTTTCTAAGCAGCCCAGCCTGTTTTTCCTAAATATATATATATATATATATATAATACAATATATATATACTGTGTTTTATATATATATATATATATATATTGTATTATAATTCTCTGTTTTTCACAGAATTACCTATGGCATAGCCAAGAGCACAGCATCCAGTGCATTTCACATCACCATGGGAGGTGGGCAGGAAGGAACTCATCCTATGGGATTTTCTTATTATGCATTTTGTGAGCACCAGCTATGTTGACTAGGGAGTGGTTTTTGGTTTTGTAGTGTTCTCAGTCAGAGAAAAGTCAAGGATGCTATTAGTCACTGTTTGAATTTAACCATGGGGTCGCTCTCCCCTCTATAGACATACTGCCAGATAATGTAAAATTGTTGAAAGTATAAAGCAGAGGCCTAAACATTAACCGTAACTTCTCAAATGCAACTCTTGATATTGTATTTAAACATTCCTTCAAATTCCATGCAAAATAGAAGTTGTGAGTCATGACTGTCCAGTTGAAATAGAGACCCTGCATATTTGGCTGTTTTCTTCATTCATTTCAATGGCTATTACAGTGAGGATTTTGTAATCTTCCAGTACAATAAAATAACGCTGGAATTTGTGCTGAATAATTTACTCATTATTGTGTCTTGTTGCTGTTCCCCTTACATGGTAGCTCAGTGGGTAAAGGACTTGTCACAGAAACATAAGAATTCAAGTTTGGGTTCCTAGCACCAACCTGTACACCTGTATCCCAGGCATCCTCACACACAGGTGCGTCCTCACACACAGGTGCATCCTCACACACAGGTGCGTCCTCACACACAGGTGCATCCTCACACACAGGTGCATCCTCATACACACAGGTGCATCCTCACACACACACAGGTGCATCCTCACACACAGGTGCATCCTCACACACAGGTGCATCCTCACACACAGGTGTGTCCTCACCCACAGGTGCATCCTCACACACAGGTGCATCCTCACACACAGGTGCATCCTCACACACAGGTGCATCCTCACACACACACAGGTGCATCCTCACACACAGGTGCATCCTCACACATAAGTACATCATCACACACAGGTGCATCCTCACACACAGGTGCATCCTCACACACACACAGGTGCATCCTCACACACACACAGGTGCATCCTCACACACAGGTGCATCCTCACACACAGGTGCATCCTCATACACACAGGTGCATCCTCACACACAGGTGCATCCTCACACACAGGTGCATCCTCACACACAGGTGCGTCCTCACACATACACAGGTGCATCCTCACACATATACAGGTGCATCCTCACACACAGGTGCGTCCTCACACACACAGGTGCGTCCTCACCCACAGGTGCGTCCTCACACACACAGGTGCATCCTCACACATACACAGGTGCATCCTCACACACACACACACACAGGTGCATCCTCACACATAAGTGCATCCCCACACCCACAGGTGCATCCTCACACACAGGTGCATCCTCACACACACACAGGTGCATCCTCACACACAGGTGCATCCTCACACACAGGTGCATCCTCACACACACACAGGTGCATCCTCACACACACACAGGTGCATCCTCTCACATACACAGGTGCATCCTCACACACACAGGTGCATCCTCACACATACACAGGTGCATCCTCACACACACACACACACAGGTGCATCCTCACACATAAGTGCATCCCCACACACACAGGTGCATCCTCACACACAGGTGCATCCTCACACACAGGTGCATCCTCACAGACACACACAGGTGCATCCTCACACACACACAGGTGCATCCTCACACACAGGTGCATCCTCACACAGAGGCGCATCCCCCACATGTAGATACACTTCTCGTGCTGCAGACAGCATTATGTTGCCAATTCCTGAAGCCAGCCTCCCTTTAAGGACGTGATTCATGCGTTATTTACCTTTATGTAGATGGTACATTATCCAGAGCTTCAGTGAATTATGTTGTTGCTTAGTGATTATGATGTTTCCACTATATAAAAGTTATGCATGTTTTACTGTATTTGAGAAGTTTTTGTTTTTCTATATCATGAGAGACTGAACCATTTCTGTGTTCAAAAACAAAGGTATGAATGTTTTAGAATGATATATTGATATTCTAAATATTAAAGTAGATAATAGCTGTGATGGCTTAATGTCATGTTATAAATGGGAGACTGTGATTTCGATTTTACAGATGTATGTTTGTTAAATGGAGGTTTCTAACATGGTAATTCCTCAGTCCTATTTTCAAGTATAAGCAACAGAAATAAGTATTTTTATTTACGGTCTGAGACACCCAGGGGAGCCCAGATTTCTGCGATGGTATAAAATTTCCTATTTGCTCATTTTATTTCATTTTTTTTAGGGTGCAAGAAGGATTATTCTATAACATAATCAGATAATTAACCAGTTTGCCAATTCTCTGAGTGCTTCCTTTTATATTTTAGTTGTTTGTAAAATAAAAGGCTGTTTTGTTCTGTTTTGCTTTGTTTTTACCAATTGTATTATAGTTTGTTAATTCCTCTATGTCTGTTTCTTTTTTCCTCTGTCACCAGTGTAGTGACTATGACTTGGAATTCGGAACAGAGTGCTTGCAGTTGGCTCTAAAATACTGTCACACAAAAGCAAAACTTTTAGAGGGGTCCCCCGACCTCTGGAAGGTAAGAGAGATTCATCCTGTGGGGCTCCTCTGTTGTGTGCTCACACACAAATGTGTGTGTGTGTGTATGTGTGTGTGTGTGTGTGTGTGTGTGTTTTGTGCTTCCAGTCATAAGAAAATGAACTCAGAAGTCAGAGAGTCTCATTGGGGCTTGTGAACATCATCTGGTGTGGATGTTTCTGTGTCTTGGCTTCCAGAACATTCACCTTGAACTCCTTTAGACGTACTTCATTTCAGCCCCTAAGTTTATTTACTTGCATCTTTCTCTTTGTGTTGTGTACAGTCTTGTTTTATGTTTCCTCAGTGTTGAAGCTACCATTCTGTTGCCTATTCCGGCAGGGTTTTCCTCAGCCCTGGGCTTCTAGCTCCAGTTAAACTAAGTTGAAACCATGCATACTCAGCTGTGACCCATGGTGTAGCTGGACCCCCCGCTGGCTCCTCTGACAAGGTCCATGTCTTCTCATGGCAAGTGCCTTTCTCTCAGGCTGTGGAGATGAGCTGTGGTATCATCCCTCTGTAGTCTAGTGCCCAGGCAGATGTTGTACAGCATGCCTGCCTTTCCTACCTCAGGAGAAGTGTGTGGAACTGGAACAGTTCCTGAAGCACTACTTCAGGCCAGGCCTGTGACGTTTAAAATAGGTGTAGCTGCTCAAATGTGCTTTGGAATCTCGAAATGTCTATGAAACTTTGGCTACCTAGGTAGCCCTGGCTGTCCTAGAACTCATTATGTACATCTGGCTCTCAGAGGCTTGCCTTTGTCTGCCTCTGAGTTCTGGGATTAAAGGAATTTGCCACCTTGCCTGACTCATAGTCTACACAGTGAGCAGGCATGTTTTTGCAGAAATACATGGAACTTGCTACATGCTAAGTTTGCCTCGGACAGGAAAGATTGAGTTTAGAATTCCAGAAAGAGTGACATGCTTGGACTGTTGCCTAGTGCATAAAATTATGTTCGTTTATGCACATCTGAATTTTATCTGCCCAGTAGAGAAACACTCATTTTGTCTTTGTCTCTCCGGGCTTCCTGTGTGCTTCTCTCAATATGTACTTTGTAAGCACTTCTGAGGCAGTCTAGGGATGTGTGTGAGATGTGGCCTCTGTAGTAAGACAGGTTGTCACCGTCAGAGTTTAATGTGTTAGCTGTCTTTGCATCTCACAAGCCGTAATATGTTACGGATAGACGAATTGTATGGCTGTTGCTGTCAGTGTGCTACTGATTTTAGGGCCACATGGAGTAACTATACTAGTGCTATGTTAAATCTAGCCCCAATCCCCTCTCACATGTGACATCAGACACCCTACTGAGACATTGTCTGTGAGTCCCTAGCTGACATGCTTCTAGATGCCAGGATCTTCCTCCTGCGAAATGGGTTTTGTATCTAAGGAATATTGATGACCGCACATCCTGCTCCACATCCCAATCCCTGCCCTTTGTTCCGTGAATCGGAATTGCCTACTCCAGGTTTGTACTCAGAGAGGAATGAGAAGGGACCTTGACTTCTTGCCTGTGAGCACCCCACCCATTCTGTCCATCTCTGATGCTGGAACCCTGAAGTCTCCTCTGAGACCTAGCCATGCTGTTGTCTATCGGTCTATCTGTTCATCCCATTGGTGACTTTTCTGATCAGTTCCTCCATTCCCAGTATACTATCTTTGAACCCTTGTGAACTCTCATCATGAGCCTTTCAGTAACTATGAGGATTTCGTCAATTATGACTTAGGGGTTTTGTTGAGGATCTTGATCTCTACCCTTGTACACTTCATTCTGCTCTCCACCCTGAGCCTGAGGGCCACAGGGAAAAACACAGTAAACTCCAGGGCCTTGACAGCACTCCCTGGCTGGCTTCACTTTTGACCTCTTTGAAGGTTTGGCTCTTTTCTTGTCTAAGCTTTTATCAAGCTTGTAAAACCCTTAGGTCTGTGGATAAAAGATAAGAGACACATTCTCTTTACTTTTTCACCCCATCTTCAAATTCATTCTTTTTTGTGACGTACTCATATTTCATAGTTGTTTCATAGCAGCAACAGTTCCAGTCTCCCTTTAGATGTGTTCTGTGCCCAGCTGCCCTGTCTCCCCCACTTTTACTAGCTCCGCTGGTGAGTCACTTTGTGTATTTTAGGGTTGAATTATCTCTCACGCAAATGTGTGCCCATGTTCTAAGTGCTGGCATCTGTGTCGTACATAGTTGGGAAGAATCTGCAAATGCAATCAAATCATGATAAGGTCAAACTGTAGTTGGGTAGGCCCTAAATCCAACATGACTGGTGTCCTTATATGACAGGAGTCATGGATGTGAGGAGAATAGCACATGATGATAAATGCAGGGAATAGAGTGATGAATCTACAAACTAAAGGATACTGGAGTATTGCTATCAGTCACTAGATGCTAGCGAGAGGCCTGGAAGGGATTCCTTCAAACTCTCAGAGGGAACTGGAACCTGCCCAACTTTGGGCTGTAGACTTGTAGACACCAGACAGGTGAGAATGGGTTCTTATTTTTCCAAGGCATGCTATGTGCAGCATACCGTTGCAGCGTACACACACACACACACACACACACACACACACACACACACACACACACACACACGCGCGCGCGCGCGCGCGCACGTGCGTGTGCTGCAGGAGTACCACAGTCTTCCAAGTCTGGTGGGTATTAGGACGCTAGAACATCATATCCCCAACAGGAAGAAGCTGGAGTCTCCCAGCTGTGAGTTTGGTTTGGCTAACAATAAGCACCGGAGGGTCGTGACTCTAAAATGCCTGTGGCAAACGGACTGCTCAGCATACCTATCCATCACTGTTGAGCTACAGTTCTTCTGAATAAGGGAAAATATTGAAAATGTAATATTGTTGTTGTTTCACGCTGGTGTCCTTCCCATGTCCTGTCTTGTCTTCTTAGGCTGGGTTTCCTCCCTGCATTTGGCCTGTCTTCTTTTTTGCTGTTTTCTCAACTATTTAGCCCCTGTTTAGTCACAAATAAATACACTGAGACTTATTATTTCTTATGAATGTCTGGCCTTAGCTTGGCTTGCTTCTAGCCAGATTTTCCTAAATTATCCTGTCTACCTCTGGGCTTTTATCTTCTTTTATTTCTTTATACCGTTCTTTACTTCTTACTCCATGTCTTGCTGTGTAGTTGGGTGGCTGAGCCCTGAAGTCCTCTTGTCCTTTTCCTTTCCCTACCTGATCTTCTCTTCCCAAATTTCTCCTCCTCATTATTCTTTCTGCATGACTGCCCTTCCTATCCTTTTTCCTGCTAAGCTATTGGCCATTCAGCTCTTTATTAGACCAATCAGTTATTTTAGGCAGACAAAGTAACACAGTTTCACAGAATTAAACAAATGCAACATGAAAAAATGCCACATATCTTTGCATCATTAAACAAATGTTCCACAGCACACACAAATGAAACACATCTTAAAATAATATTCCGTATCAACAAAACATGTTTTTGAAGTCTGGCATAATGGCTCATGTTTACAGTCTCAGCTGAGGCAGGAGGACTGCCATGAGTTCGAAGCCAGTCTGGGTTACATAGTGAATTCCAGGCCAGCCTGAACTATAGAATATGAACCTATTTAGGAAACGAATACAAACAACTAGCTGTGAATCATCTTAGTTTTGCCAGGATGCTAAAATTGTAATTGAGTCCGGGACATAACTGAGCGCCATATAACAGTCTAGTAGAAGAGGACTCTGAAATAGGTAATTGTCTTGTGTTGCTCTGGGAAGTCAGGGAAGTCATGCCCTGGAAGTGTGCACGGTCACAAGATTCCTGATCACAGCCCATAGGACTCTTTTAAAGCCATCTGAAATCCCATGAGGAAGTTATTATTTTAAAGTTGACATATATATTTTTATATAAATGAAGTAAAAACCCGAGACATTCAGGGTTAATGTTAGCTTGCCTCTGCTAGGTCCTTTGATGTCTGAAGAATGCATTATTAATTTACTTTTAAAAATCCTAATCATGCAGGGTAGAGAATATTCCCTTTGTGACCAGGTTTCTTCTTCTTCCCCCAAAATGTCCATGCATAACAAAGTCCTGCTCTGGCTCCTTAGACAGCGGTCCATGCTCACGGGTCCCCTGAGTGGCTGTGAGTTGGTAGCTTCAGTGAACATTTATTTTGATGAGATTTGATCTTATTTAAGAACCTAAGTGAACATTTGTCTTTTGCTTTCCCCCAGTATATTTTTAGACATTAGCAGCTCATGCTTGTGCCCTGCACACACTGAGCTAAACAGACTTCTTGTTCCTAAATGTCAAAAATGTCTCCAAGCCATAAGATTTATAACCAGTTATTGGAGAAATTCAACAACTGCTTCATTGTCTTCAAGTGCATCCTGAGAAGGAGGCTGAGAGTATTTGCGTCATCACAACATTACTGGGAAAAATGACTAGAAGGTTCTTTTTGATAGGCAATAGCTCTTGCAAATCCCATTGTTTTGGCATCTTAGTTTAAAAACAAAGAATTGGATCTACTGCACAGAGTGGACTGAGAGGTGAGTGACCAGCTTCCAATCTAGACCAAACACCCTCTCAGCCCTAGGTCCTAGAGAAAAACCAATGGACCGTCCCTCAGTCATCTCAGCCAGACTAGAAGGTCAGCAGGAAAGACTACTGCAGGCAGGCTACACAAATAGTCTCCCTACTCTCCCTAAAACCCAGCCTTCCCTCAGGACCTCAGCAGTTCCCTGGGACACAGACATTTACTGCACAGAGAAGACTGAGAGAGAGGACTGACAGAATCTGATCAAGAGGCAAAGACACTGCCTTCTCCAGCAGGAAGAGATGGCTAGACATTAATGCAAGACTATGTTCTACAACCTAAAGAGCAATATGGTAAAACCAGAACCTAGTGGTCCTACCTCAAAAGACCCGAACATCTCAACGCAGAAGCAGAAAGATCTTAAAAATAACTCTATCAAGATGAAGGAGGCCTTTCAAGAATAAATGAAGTGTTCACTTAGAGAATTGGAGGAAAAGACAAACAAAA